TATTAGGATCAGTGATATAGTCAGAAAATGCTTCCCTGTATCCTCTTCCTACATCTTTCCATTCACGTGTTCCTTTCCCACCCACTACCACCAACCACACACAGTCTGGACTCATCATTATGGATGATAAGGAATGATTCTGTCTACCAGTAACAGATTCAGGTAAAACAATCTGTTGAAATAATACATGCATGGTAATATTTTATCATGTAAACAGTATTTACAATATGTTACAAATATTCAATGGAATATACATGTACATGCATTAGGTACATGTACTGTACATGCACACAGTGAGTATTTCTAAGGTATTAATACAATACAATACATTAACATGACAACTACTCTACAATCACTGTATCACACGCATGTACACTCTAAACTAATAACATTATACACATACCTTACTCCACTGGTACTGACTAGTATTCAGTAACCAACTATCATTTACTAGTTCATCTTTACCCTCTCCACCTATCATTACTAGTGTAGGTGAGTCACTGATGATACTAGTAATAGCATGATAACGTCTCCTCACAGGCCACTGTACACTAGCAGGTACTACTGGTCCCTTAACACTCTCCCAGTGCTAGATAAAATGAATTAATCAATATTATAAAATGTATTACAAATACTGTATAGCGGGAAATTTTGGAGGAAACTAAATTTGGCAAATATGGCGTTTTGATTTCTAAACTAAAATTTGCTAATCACCAAAATTTAGCTTTTTGTCAAATTTTTGTCCATCCAAAATTTCCCGCTATACATAAAGCATGTATAAACATGATTGATCCATGCAATAAATACATCCCATACAGTAATAAGATAACTTACTATTGTAGTATCAGACTCCAGTTGACATGTATAGACTGTATTAACAAGTATATCACTTCTACGATCATCACTAGGCACTGCTCCACCAAACATGACAGCTTTATTATTAGTAATCTTTTGAATAGCAAAGGAACTAGTAGGAGGACAACACTGACCACTAATAGTTGGAATAATCCATTGTCCTAAATAGAAATAGATAGTATAATTAGAATTATTAAGAATGACACTGCAAATATCATGTACATACATGTATGCATGTATAACAAGAAATAATTAATTTTGATGATTGACAGTTTGGGGGAAAATGACTAATTTCAATTTGTCATTCTGTTTCACTTTGCACAGATACATGTCAGTTGTGGCTCAATATGACAACATTTGACAATATCATTCATAAATGGAGTAAAATGATTATTAGAGTTCAGTAAACTAAATCAATGAATGAATGACAGACAACCAGACTACCTAGTCCCTCATCCACACAAAGCATTGGTGAGGGACGTTAATCAATAAATTTAATTAGACCATGTGGACAAATTATTAATAGGTGGAGTAGGATGCATCCATGCTTGAAGGCTTCATTTTGAATTGTGTATTTTTACTTTTAATTAGCTGATGTAACTTCATACAATGATGGCTCATGCTCACTCCTTCAATGTTTACATGCACCTACTTAATATGCAAATGGTAACAAAAATAATGATTGAAAAATATGTCATCACAAGCAGAGTATAGATTGTTAATATATGTATTAATTAATAAATACTTACTTGTTGATAAATTTAATAAATTCTGTTCATTAGTACGGATACGACTGCTGACCATCTGAATATACTGATACTGTGATTGGTATGTAGTGGGTGTAGAACCAGTCCCTCCTATCATAAATAGGTATTCTGTACCCATAGACTCCATACACACCATACCACCACCCATTCTCTTCATTACAGCATCACTGGTTGGTATTATATTACTCCATTCATATGTTAGACTGTTAAATGAGTTGACGTCATTATGAAAGCAAATGTCATGTCCACAGTAGCCGCCAAAAAAGAAGATGTCATTGTTTCTGGTAGTACAAAAGTATCCTATAGCTCCTAGAGGAGGTGACGTTCCTCTGGTCACGTGAGAGGACCAATGACCAGTCCTAAACTCCAGTCTATCAATGGTGGACAAATATTTCCTCTTTTGTGGGGAATCATGAACAACAGGTAAGTCAGGCCTATCTCCTCCCCACAGGAACACTGATTCTCCTACTACAGGAGCTGAGTGTAGAGATATCCCTCCCAGTTGATAGATACCTGTAAAATACAAACATGATGAGAAAGAGGAGGAAGAAAACAGAAACTCACCTTTAGACATTGTTTGTCAAGAATGTTAATTAACAAGCCACACCCATAATAACAATATTCATTACTCATAATCACCCACACCCATATCACCTTCTAAATTAAATCCAATCACTGCCAACATTATAACAATAAGTACAGTAATTA